CTGGTGTGGCGGTGTCAGATCAGCACTGGACTAGGAAACACAAAGTTGGCAGTTCAAACCCACCAGCTGCTCCTCAGAAACCCTATACACAGTCACTATGAGTCAGATCCAACTCCACGGCACTTAACAACATGCGTGTGTATATATATGTCTCTGTATGTGTATATGTGTATATATATATAGAGAGAGAGAGAGTTGTTAAGTGCCTATATAGGGTTTCCAAGGAATGACTGATGAGTTTGAACCATTGACCTGGTGGTTCAAACTGATGTTGTAGTCTAGTGCTTATCCTACAGCGCCACACCAGGGATATATATTTATTTATTTATATGTGTGTGTGTGTGTGTGTGTGTGTGAGAGAGAGAGAGAGAGAGGGAGAGAGAGGGAGATAGATAGATAGTGCCTTAGAGTCAGTGCCAGTGGGTTTGAACTGCTGACCCTGTGGTCAATAGTCCAGCACCACACCAGGACCCCAGATATAGATAGATTGATCTCATTTCCCACTCAGATATGTGAGTAAGCAGAGACAGGAGCAGGTTATCAATGCGTCAGGTTCTCACACGTCTTAATCCACCCCGCCCCCCCCCTCACATTTTAAACAACACCCACTTACCTCCCTCCTCTCTCATAACAGGGACTAAGGCCGCCCTTGTGGTTAGTAAGGGCTGCGTCTCTGGAGGGATGGCACAGACAACCTTTATCCAACACACCTCAGGCCCTGGCCTGGTGATAGTCTCCTTCAGTAACTTCTGTGAGGACCCCTTTTGCAACAACAAAGCGAGCTTATCTTCGTTTTGGATGCCATCAGAGAACACAGGTACCGTGAAAGGAGAGAGGTGGGTGTTAAAATAAACTCCATAAACAACTAATGAGATAGTGTTTCTTCCTTCTAGGAATTCTAAATACTGCTCAGAGCACAGGGACATCAGGGACAGCTAGGGTATAAATTTGTGTTTTGTAGGCAATACGATGCCAGGTTAGGTTTCAGAGCAGGGTGGTAACAAAGTTCATCTAACAATTACTGATTCCCCATGACTATGTGACACTAACCAGACTCCCCAATTTGACCTCAAGGACTGTAGTAATCTGTCCCCGGCCTAGCTTTTCAGGTTCTTTTCCCTTGCTTCCTGTTCTTCCCTCTCTCACTGTTTTCTAACTGGGGTTGATATTCAAAATACTTAAAGCAGTGATGATAGTACTGGCCAATCGAGATGGACTGTTGTTGTTGTTAAGTACTGGCAAGTCAGTTCTGACTCATAGCAATCCTGTATAGGGTTTCAGAGGCTTTAAATCTCCGAGGGAGCAGAAAGCCTCATCTTTCTTCTATGGAGTGGCTAGTGGCCTGGACCCATGGACCTTGTGATTCGCAGTCCAGGGCTAATTGTATTGGAGCCACCATGCTCCCAGTCAAGATGCATGCTGGCCATAAAATCCAGTTCAGCCATACCTGGGCCTGTCAACTAACTGTCAACCATGCAGTTTCTCACCATTCCCCAGATCCACTAAGATTGTTCACATTTCCAGGTCTTTGCCTTTGTTATTTCCTTTGCCCCTCTACCTTTCCCCACCCCACTTTTACCTAGCTAACCGTATTCTTCCTCCACCTTAGTTCAGTATCAGCTCTTTGAAAGTGTTTCCTTAGTTCTTTAGGGACAATTTGTTACTCTCCTGTTCCTCTTCCATTATACTTCTAATGCAGTACTAACTGAACTGTATTGTAATTATTTACACGTCTTTCTCTCAGATAGGGATCCTAGGTGGCAGGAAGTATGTCTTGTTGTCACCGTATCTCCTCACCTAAGCACACTGTTTGGAAGCAGTCTTGGCTGGAGTTCTTAGAGCAATGAAAATCCGTTAAGGAAGGGCAGAGCTGTTGCAGGAATGGGTCTTGATTAGAGCAGCAGAAGCAGGAAAGACTTGGGGAAGAAAAGGCAGCAAAGAGAGACATCTCAAGGGGCTGGACACACTCTTTACTAGTCTTCTTTTCCTCCCTCCAGCTACCAGTGTGTTGTCAACCCTCTCTTGCCCAACTTGTGTGGCTTTGGAAACCTGTGTCTATGCCCCTTCTCTTCCCTGTCCTCGTGGTTCAACTCGATGCTATCAAGGAACATTCCAGATTACTGGCGGTAAAGTTGAACACCTGATGGTTTCAGGGATTGGAGACCCAGACATTTGAGTGGGTCCCAGGAGGTTTTGTTACTCAAGGCTGTGGAGAGGAGGGAACACTGGATGCCTTTCTGGTTTCTGAAATGTCAGTCTGCTTCACCCTCCTCTCTTCTTCCCCAGGAGGCATCAACTCAGTTTTGGAGGTCAAAGGCTGTACGGCCATGATTGCATGCAAGCTGATGTCTGGGATCAGTACTGTCGGAGTCTTTAAGGTGAAGGAAGAATGTCCACGGCATTCTTTCACTGAACTCCGGAGGATGGAAAATGGGGCCACCTGGCTTCTTGTTTCAGTTTGGGGGTTAGCATTCTTGCTGCTATTGATCCTGCTACTGCTGCAACCACTTGTCCATTGTTCTTGAGAGGCACTTCCGGTCTTGGTCTCAGGGCACACTTTTTACTGGGAGTCTTCTGACTGCTAGTCATCATCAAGTGCAGAGTGGGCAGTGGTTTGAGGGCAAACAGAGAGAGATCCTGGAGATGTATTTGAAATTTCTAATAAAATTTCTACTGTGATTTGTGTATACCGTCTACTTGGGAACCCCAAAACTAGAGGTAAAATTTTAGTGCTGAGAGGGCCCTTAAAATTCATTTTCTTCAATCTAAACATTTTTTCAGAAAGAGAAACTGAACTCAGGAAAACTATGATGGGTTTCTTTCTTTTTTTTTTTTTCACTTTAATTGTGCATACATCATTATTTATCTCTGTCCCACTCAGTCCATGCAAACCTGCCTCACTGTTCTCCCATACACCTTGTTCGTCCATTCCCCTCCCCCTTCTTTTGTATTGCCCTCCCCCCAGCACCCAAGCTATCCTGTGTCTATTCCCCACCCTGTATTCACCTTACCCTCTCTCCCCTCACCCCACCCCATACATCCTGGTAACCAGCAAAGAAACCACCCCTCCCCCTACCCCACCCACCCCACCTTTTAGTGGGGTTTCTTTTTCTTAATCTTTTACAATAATGGTCTTATGCAGTGTTTCTCCTTTTGTGCCTGACTAATTTCACTCAGCTTGAGGACTAGGGTGCGCCTGACCCAGGCCATTGTGTTTTCAATAGCCTCATATGGATGCGAAAGCTGGACAGTGAATAAAGAGGATCGTAGAAGAATTGATGCCTTTGAGTTGTGGTGTTGGAGGAGAATACTGAGGGTGCCATGGACTGCCAAAAGAACCAATAGATCTGTTTTGGAAGAAGTGCAGCCAGAGTGCTCCTTGGAGGCCAGGATGGCTAAGCTTCGTCTCTCCTACTTTGGACATGTAGTCCGGAGGAAACAATCGTTGGAGAAGGATGTCATGCTGGGTAGGGTGGAGGGTCAGAGAAGAGGAGGAAGACCTCCAACGAGATGGATCCGCCAGGTGGCATCATTGATGGACTCGGGGGTGGCAGCGGTGGTGAGGTTGGCCCAGGATCGAGCATTGTTTCGTTCTGCTGTGCATGGGGTCGCTATGAGTCGGTTCCGACTCGATGGCACCTGACAACAACAACAATTTCACTCAGCATAATGTCCTCAAGGTTCATCCATATTATACGGTAGCTTGCAGCTTGTTATTCTTCAAGGTAGACCACAATTTGTTTATCCATTCTTCAGTTGATGGGCACTTAGGCTGTCTCCATCTTTTTGCTATTGTAAATAGTGCTGCTATGAACATTGGTGTGCATATATCTATTTGTGTTATGGCTTGTATTCCTTGTGGGTAAATTCCAAGTAGAGGAATTGCTGGATCATAAGGTATTTCTATTTCAAACCTTCTGAGGAAGCGCCTTATTGCTTTCCAGAGAGGTTGGACCATTTTGCAATCCCACCAGCAATGTAGGAGTGTCCCAGTCTCTCCCCATCCTCATCAGCGTTTACTGTCCTCTAATTTTTGATCTTTGCTGTTATTGCTGGTGTGAGATATCTCATTGTTGTTTTGATTTGCATCTCTCTAATGGCTAGTGATCGTGAACATGTCTTCATATGTTTGTTGGCTGCCCGGATCTCCTCCTTGGTGAAGTGTCTGTTCATGTCCTGGGTTATTTGTCTTTTTCTTGTAGAGGTGTTGTAGTTTCCTATATATTTTAGAAATTGGTCTCTTGTCTGATGTATCATGGCAAAAGATTTTTCCCGTTCTGTGGGCTCCCTTTTTACTCTTTTGGTGAAGTCTTTTGATGCACATAAGTTTTTAATTTTTAGTATATCCCACTCATCTTTGTCTACTTTTGTTTGTATAGTTTTCAAAACGTTTGGAAGTCTGTGTATGCCCTCTATTAGAGCCCTCACATTTGTCCCTATGTGGCCTTTATAATTCTGGGATTCACATTTAGGCCTTTAATCCATGCTGAGTTGGTTTTTGTGTAAGGTGTGAGGTAAAGGTCTTGTTTCAATCTTTTGCATATCACTTTCCAGTTCTACCGGCACCATCTGTTGAATAGACTATCTTCTTCCCATGGAATACACTAGGCTTTTTGTTGAAAATCAGTTGGCTGTATGTGGATGGGTTAATTTCTCGATTCTCGATTCTGTTTCATTAATCAATGTATCTTTCATTGTACCGGTACAAGGCTGTTTTGATCACTGTAGCTGTGTAGTAAAATTCAAGTCAGGGAGTGAGAGGTTGCCAACCTTGTTCTTCTTCTTAAGCAGTGCTTTGCTTACCCTGGGTCCCTTTCCTTTCCATATAAAGTTTGTAATCGTTTTTCCATCTTTTTTAATAATGTCGTTGGAATCTGGATTGGGATTACATTATATATGTAAATTGTTTTGGGCAGTACTGACATTTTCACAATATTAAGTTTTCCTATTCAAGAGCATGGTATATTCTTCCACTTTTGTTAAGTCTCTTTCTTGTAGTAGTGTTCTGTAGGTTTCTTTGTATAGGTCCTTTGTTTCTCTGGTTACATTTATTCCTAGATATTTCATCCTTTGGGCAGCTATTGTAAATGATATTGCTTTCCTAAGGTCCTTTTCAGTGCTGCCATTGTTGTTGTTGTCAGGTGCCATCGAGTTTTTCTCAATTCCATTGTATAGTGTTTTGATACCTTTCATAATCATTTTTCTGAATTCCTTCTCAGGCATTTCCAAAGCCTGCCCTCCTTTCAGTGTGGACTGTAGGTCTGCTTCCAGCTCATTTGCCTCAGTCACTTTATCTTGTTTCTGGACATGTACTGATATGGTCATCTGTTTCTGTTTTTTGGGCAAATTTAGGCATTATCTGTGGCTTTAATATTTAGATGTGTGTGTATTTTGATATTTTTTATGCTTTCTGATTGCCTGCAAGTAGATGTGATCAGGAGATGGGCTTCCCTTTTCACTCTTTTCCCTGAGAAATTTCAAGATGCCACTGTTGGTCATTGTGATGTAACTCAGGATTTAATTTTTGGCCTATTTCCTTTCTAGTCTGCCTGTCCCACTCCACAATCCCCATTCAGGCCTTTTTCCTAGTGATAAACAGTTCAGGGTTGGCTGTGGCTGTTTTGCACAGCTGTTTGGTTCTGAGTGGAAACTGTCACTTTAAATTTTGAGGAGATCTGTGCGCGTGCGTAATAGAACCCTATAGGGGTGGTGTTGAGGAGTCCACTCACTCAGGCATCCCCTCTAGTCACCAGAATTGAGGTGCTCAGATAGCAAGAGACCAATGAACAGATACCAAAATAGAAGAGTTCCACACCTTTATTTCCATGGTTCTGTCAGGCATCTGTGGTTGCTCTGATCCTTCCCATGCTTGGTCTCGCCCAAGATGGTGGCTCCAGGAGCAGCTGAGTGTCTTGAATTAGAAAGCACTGGATTTCTTGTTTCTGCTACAAATTCCCCTAGCTGTAAGCCTTCCAGCCTTCTAAATATTCCTTTATATGTGGTTCAGAGTTCTGGGACCAGCCCCTGAGCCTGCTTAGTCCGGTATTCTGTGTTATTGCTGATGGAGCTCTTCACTGCACTTCCACGTGATCTGCTATCTGGTTTGTACTCGTCTCTTTGCTGTCTTTAATAGCGCTGTTTTGTTTTATAAAAAGGATGAAAGTTCAGAAAATAAGATGTCAGTGTTGAATATTTTATTTTTTAAAAAAAGACTTACTTCAAGACCCTCATCCTTGGTTAAGCAAACCTTGGTACAGACAATGGAATGCTACAGAATGTTGAAGATTAACAACGAATCTGTAAAACACCTGTGAAGCATATGAATGAACCTGTTGTTAAGTGCCATCAAGTTGGTTCTGACTTAAGGCAACCCTTTATAGGGTTTCTAAGGAGCGATTGATGAGTTTGAACTGCTGACCTTTTGGTTCAAACTGACCTTGTGGTTCAAACTGACCTTGTGGTCCAGTGCTTATCCTATAGCACCATACCAGGACTCCTGAGTGAAATTAGTCCAGCACAATGGGACAAGTAGTGTATGAGATTGCTATTGTAAACAGTCAAGAAAAGGTTTTCATGCTAAAAGAAACATTCTATGATGGGTATCAGGGTGGGAGAGAAGGGGAAACTATTTTCTGGCTAGAGGATATTGTTGTTAAGTTACATCAAGTCAGTTCTGACTCTTAGCAACTCTATATAGGCTTTCCAAGGAGTGGCTGGTAGGTTTGAACTGCCAACCCTGTGGTTAGTAGTCCAGTGATTATCCTACAGTACCACACCAGGACTCCCTAGAGGGTAGACACATGTTAACTTGGGTAACAGGGAAGGCAGTTGAAAAAAACAGAGAAGAACAAAAATTGATTGCATGTTTGATCAATTTCAGACTGAAGAAATGGTTGTTGTTAAGTGCCATCGAGTCGGTTCCGACCCATAGCGACCCTGTACAGGGTTTCCGAGGGTGTAAATCTTTACGGGAGCAGAAAGCCTCATCTTTCTCCTGTGGAGCAGCTGGTAGTTTTGAACTGCTGACCTTGTGGTTCGCAGCCCGATTCGTAACCACTACGCTACCAGAGCTCCTTAGAATTCTTCAGTTTCATCATTACTGGTTTCAGTGGTTGGTGAGTAAATTTGAATCATAGTGGTGTTAACTGGGTTTCCTTGTAGGCATGTGGACATTATCCTATCACAGCATTATACTTTAAGCTAGATCTGAAATGTTATTTTTGATGATGAATGGGGAGCCATTTCTCTTCAGTTTGTCATTCCCATGTGGTTGTCTGATTCAAAATGACCAATACCAGTTTATTTCAGCCCACTAATGCCCAAGATCTCAATCTTTATACGGTCCATTTCATTTTTGATAGCTTTTCCTTTTTTTTGATTCATACTTCGTGTATTCCATATTCAGATCATTAATGAATGTTTACAGCTGTTTCTCCTCATTTTGAATTGTGCCCCATCAGCAAACGAAGGTCCCAAAAACTTTATTCCAACTCACGTCTTCACAGTCAACTCAACTTTGAGGAAA